CGGGTGCTGCTGTGCTGCCCCTGCCCGGGCCCGGCGGCGGGGCTGGCTGAGCTCCTGGGTCTCCTCCGGCCTGAGCCACTCGGATTTTGTGAAGCACCAAGGTGAAGATTTCCCTGTGCGGTTCGCTGTCTTCTGGAATTGACTTTTCCTCTTCCCTGAGTTGCCCGCCTGTGCCGTGTCCCCTGTCATTCAGATGTTCACACAGGTTTAATTCGCATGCCAGTGTAGAAGACCACTTATTTTTCATGACAATAATGCTGCTGAAGTTTCCCCCCCGGCGGGGGAAGAGGATGAAAAGGATAACGGTATTTCTGCCCTCTGCACATCAAAAAGTTGGGTTTTTTTCCATGGGAATAGCTTTTTAATCAAAGATGGGTAACAGGTGAGGTACATGCTACTAGTGACACATTGGGTGCTATTTTGTATCAGGCCAGTGGTTCAGTTCACTAAACCTGAAGCACTAAGGACACTATTAGTGTATATGAACAGAAAACTGTGTATTAGTATGGTAGTGGCCATGGCTCATGGATCTCTAAGGAATCTGCAGGCTCCTCTTGAGGATCCTGATGAAAACCCAGATAACTCTCCCTTTGCAAACTTGAAAAGCTGTATTAAGTCATTGAGTCTGATCCAGCAACTTCGCTTTGAATAAATTGTAAACTTTGTACTGGCTGCTCAGTCTGTGGAGACCTCCCAGTTCTGAGGGCTGGCACCCTCCGAGGAAGGTGAGGCTGTAACTGGCCAGTCCATACGTTTTCCATTCACTGTGTCTGCAGCTGGTAAGAGCTGTTGCTCTTATCTTCTCCAAGAGAAATGCAGTGTGTTGCCTCTCCGATCTCTCACTGAAGTTTTGTGTGAGGGACTGGAGGTTGGTATGAGATCCTGAGGCTTTCCGTATGTTAGGTTATAACCAGCAGTCGTTAAACACCTAGAAGAGCAGGCCAAAGGGGAAAAAATATTAATGGAGAAGAACATTTGCCTTGTTAAAATTCTGTTTTCACCTTGACTTTTCAGCCACCTTCTACTTATAGTGTAAAAAGAGAGCTTGAGAGTTGCATCGCTCTCTCAGCTTATGCCTCGGACCCTGTAATCTAGTGAGACTACATAGCTCTGACTTCATAGATAACATGGTCTGGTTTAGTATATGTATTATACTACTATTACTCTACTGTTTTCATTTACATAAAAAAATATTCAAACCAGTAATGAACTAGTAAAAGTAGGGTAAGCAATGCAAACGGGTGCACGTTGCACAGTACTGGGCTCTTTAGTGGAGTCTGTGTCTTTTTATTAAACTTTTTTAGAAAAAAAGTCGGTAAATTAATTTCCCAAGTATAATCTCTCTCTAAACTTAAACCAGGTTTGTAAAATGCAACCAAGAAATCATCTGTAATAAAGACAGAGGCCCTTACATAGCCCTTTAATTTGTGGGACTCAAGCTTCGACTTCAAAAATTATTTTTTGAGCCATTGTCACTGTAAAGAGGATGCTTAGCCTCCTTCTCGCTCAGAAATGGGCCTCTGTTGCTTGTATGGTCTGTCCCCGAGAGCTGTGAGAGTGTGCTGTGGAAATGAGCAGCGTCTCTGCGTGGCAGGGCTGTGAAAGGCACAGCATGGACTGGGATTGACTCGGGTCTTCCTGCCCAAGCACTGCTCTGTGAGGGTGATCTTTGCTGCCACTTGTGAGCTGGAGGAGGGGAATGTGCCTTTTTTCCTCCCAGTACCTTTCACTGGTTTGAATTTCTGCCATTTGTTAGTCAGGGCTCCTGTGTGCAGGCGGGGGCCAGGCTGCCTGCACTGGCCCCGAGGGATGGAAAAGGGATTGGGCTTTCTACCGTGGAGTGCGAGTCTCTGCCAGCGAGCAGTACTCATGTGCTCTTCTTGGGTTTGCCTTATCTGAGAGATCGTTTTCCTCTTGGTGAATGCAGTGAGGGTAAACTCTGTCTTAACAACAGACAGAAGATGTAGGTGATGCCTTAGTCTACAGGGTAGTGAAACTTCAAAAAAGGGCTTCCTGGTTCTTGGGGACCTTCCATGAGCGTTCATGGTGGCAACTTAGAAAGATGGGCCTTTGGCTTGAGGTGGTTGGGTAGGTCTTAACTTCCACATCTCTCTGGTTACATTCCAAGGGATATTACCCATTGAGATGGACAAGTTGGGGTGTGGGGGACGTAAATGAAGTTGTAGTAGACAGTTTAGCTACACAGGGCAAATGATGGATGTAAGGCATGGAGGGCTCTCCTCGATGGAGGGGACTTGAGCATGAGCCATTCCTTCTGAGCCTCTGGGCTTCATTGATAAAATCAAAGGAGTCACTACTTTGTGGCTTAGTCTTATGGTGCTGTGAGACACACACTAGATTTCCCTGTGATTAATATGTTTGAAGAAGTGTCCTATGCTGCAATAGAGAGCTACTCCAGTAAACACGTGTTATGTATGGGTATACTCTAGTGCCTTTTTTCTTCTACTGTTCCATCACTAACTGCGATGTCCTGTGTTTTTGTTTTCCAGTGATTCACTGTAGATGTTCCAGGTGTTTTTCCTTCCCTTCAAAGCGAAGGATAAGAAAACGGCCTCGAGTCCTGACGTTGTTAAGTCTGCCTGAGGACGTTCTGTTTCATATTCTGAAAGGCCTTCCTGCCGAGGACATCCTCTCAGTCAGAGCTGTGAGTCTGCTGCTGCTTCCCCTCTGTTGCGCACTGTGGCTTGCTTATCTCTGCCATGAGGAGACAGGACTGCGCGCAGAAAAGGCTGGCTTCTTCTGTCAGAATAAATCTGAAGGAAACCAAAGAATACATGGAGTCATTAGATTTTTGCTATCCCAGCAGCAGTTTTATTTCTCACTACTCAAACTTAAGATTGGCAGCAGTATTTGACTGCTCTGTATAAATTTTCAGTGGGAATTGTCCTGCTAGATCACCGTGGCCAAGCGAATTAGTTTGGTTTGACATCTCTTGCCTTAAGGGTGATTAGGCAGGTAATGAGTTATGATTAACTTGTGATTAATTAATTAGCTATTTAAAATAAGATTGCAAAGAACTATTTTTCTGTTGGTCCCTTAATTCTAGTAATTATTATTTTACACTCTCCCCCTTGCAGGTGAACTCGCATCTTAAATACCTTGTGGATAATCATGCTAGTGTGTGGGCATGTGCAAGTTTCCAAGAAATATGGCCTTCTCCAAACAATCTGAAGATGTTTGAAAGGTAAGCTTTAAGAGTCAAGTTTGTCTGGTGTTGTAGAAGAGGTAGATAAACAGTTCTAATCAGTCCTCACTGTAAGCTTCTACTTTTTGTAGAAGTCTTTGCTGAGGGTGATGAGGAATTGTTGATTTTGTGTTTGAGCTGCAGCTTATAACTGTCTCTTTAACTGGAGCAGGGGCTGTTGCATATACTGACATTATTTCTCTTTAAGGGCATTAATATTCCATACTGGAACACTGCATGTTAACTAAAACCTGTTACTGCTGCTTCCATATGTTTGTGCAAGTGAGCTCAGAGGCTCAAGAGCATAACCATGCTTCGAAGTCTGAGCTGGCTTGGTCACTTCTTGTGCAAAACAGTGTATTGAAAAATAGGCAAATTTCAGTATTAAAACGAGTGAGGTTTGAAAGGGTAATGATAAATCTGCTTTAAAAGGACAGAGAACATCCATCTGATTTGAAGGGCATCTGTCAGTTTAAATGTCACAATTATTTTGCTTCTGACTGTTGCTTCTTCGATGCATGTCTCACGTTCTTTCTGAAGAAGATTACAATGTGCACATCAGCTTGGACGGGAGGAGCACAAGGGCTTGATGCATGTCCTTGAGGATACAAAGTACCAAAATGTGTTATTACATTCTGGTATTGGGGATGTTGTATGGGGATGGGAAACGGTTCTAGGAATTGTCAAATTGTCCTGGATATCGGCACATGAAAGGGCTGCAGCAAGAAAAGCCTCAGCATAACTTATATTTAACTTCTGTAGTGAAAGCACATATGCTCAAGGTTGGTGATCACCGAAGTCACAGCCCGGCCTCTGCTGGAGTGACTGGTTTGAGGACGTGGGTCTGGAAGCACCTGCTAATTTCAGCCACGCTTATCTTCTCTGTTTCCCACTCAGGGCTGCTGAAAGGGGTAACTTTGAAGCTGCTGTGAAGCTGGGGATAGCATACCTGTACAATGAAGGCTGTAAGTGTGGCAGCTTGTACTCGGGTCTTTGGGGAAGATGGCATGAAGAAGAAATGTAGATGAGCTAAAGGTTTACTTATAGATCACATCAGACTCATTGTCTCATCACAAAGTTGGCACTTCTACTGGCTGCTTACAGAGCTGTTTGTCGTGTGTCTCAAACCCTGATGCTTTTTTACCCAGGTTCTATAACCAATTAAGGTTATATGTTCCTAAAGACTGATTGTAGTAAGATTTTTCTTCTTTTGCCATCTCCATGATTTTTAAGGCTCTAAAGGGAAGACACTGTTCAATCTTTCCTTGATTGTATCCTATTGTCTGTCTTGGCCTGATTAGATGCTGAGCACACCTTGTAAAATGATTTGTGGCTTTTTTCTTTTGTTCAGTGTCCATCTCCGACGAGGGTTATGCAGAAGTGAATGGATTAAAGGCATCGCATTTCTTCGGTGTGGCGGAGCAGTTGAATGTGTGTGCAGCCCCATTTATCTGGCTTTTTATTCGTCCTCCCTGGTCCTTGAGTGGAAGCTGTTGTAAAGCTGTGGTCTATCAGAGTCTCAAAGCAGAGTGTCAGTTGGAGAAAGTAAGAGTTTTTTGCCCTTGACTTTAACATAGGCTGGTAGCTGCATCTAGTTCTTTTGGAAAAAATATTTTTGTTTCTCCGAGAAGCTCCTATGCTCTTTTTGCTTAAATCACTGTGGATCAATCATTTTAATGAATTTATTGACAAACTGCACTTGGTAGATCATGACTGCCAGAGGCCTGTACTGTTTTCTGAGAGATTCATTACTGTCTGAAAGATAACAAAATATTGAGAAAAGCAAGGGGGAGGGATGATTGAAAGGCAAACAAAATTGTGGTCTGGAATTAGGGGCAAAAATTGCTATTCTTTTTTTTTTATCTTTAATAATGCTTTATCTTAATGCTTTCTTCAGACTCAAAAAGGATCTATTCTCCACTGCTTGGCTAAGGTCTTGAGTCTCTTTGAGGTGAGCAGTGTTTCTAATTTGATGTGTTTGGGTACTTTTTTGGTGATGCTAATGCTGTTTACCTGATTTAAAAAAAAACAAAAACAAAAACAAAAAACAGCCAAATGCTCTTATATTCATCAAGTGGCCTAGGAATTTCTGTTCTGATGAGTTTAATTTACTGGTTGTCTAAAGGGATGTCATCAACTTAGTTTATTGAATTTTACAAACAGTGAAATTAATTTTGGCTTGGTCATGGGCTTGCAGCATGTTCAGGTCTCAAAGGAAGCCCTCCAGTCATAATGCATGTTAAAAAAAAATAAAAAATCCTTGAGTGGCAAGCAAGCCAAAAAGCTTTTGTCTAGCTGAGGAAAACCACTAAATGGCTTCCTGAGCCTGGATCTTCAAATGATGGTGCTGAGTGAATGTGGGAGCACCCCTCAGAGTCTGAAAAGGACTTGCAACTGGTTGGTTCCGCTCTGGAGCTTTCAGTAGAGAGCTGTTCTGTACCTTCTGAAGTTTTGAGATCTGGTGCCCACTTGGCTGGACAGCAAAAATACCGTTATGCCTTTTATTCTTAGGATGAAGAAAAGAGAAAGGAATCCCTTGAAATGTTAGAAGAATCTTCAAAGCAGGGTTGTTTAAACAGCTCCTACCTCCTTTGGGAAAGTAACAGAAAGGCTGCTGTAAGTAGTAAATTTTTTTTTTGCCTCAAAGCAACTTTTTCACTGTAACTTGTGGACCTCTGTGTGCAATGAACGTACACAGAAAGAACTTGCTGTTCCTCAGAGCTTACTTCATAAACAAGGAGATCGCTAAGAACTCTCTCAAATGAGCTCTGGTGTGTGCCTTGGTGTTCAAAGCAAGTCAGTCTATAAGCAGTTGGAGCCAAGCTGCAAGCAGACTTTCCTCTAGACTAACTGCTAGAGGCACAGGCACTGCTGGCTAGCGATCATATGGCTCACCTGGGAACGGGAGGGGACACTGCCTGTATTGTCATTAATAAGCCTGCCCAAGCTCATATATTGGAGTCCCGAGTGACCTGTCTCATTTCCTGTGAGATGTTGGGCAAGAACTGAAGAAACTTTCTTCAAAACAATGTTGGCGTCGTGATGAGAAACAGACTTGTTGCTGAAATAATAGATGTACCCACAGGAATGTGTTTTTTCTCTGGATATTAGTACTGCAATCCTTCTGTTTGTTGTGTAAAGGCAAGGGTTTTTGAAATCTGTTTACATTCATCTCTGCAGATGTCAGATCCTGGCAGATACCTCCAAAGTCTCAGGAAGCTACGGGACTACGCAGCAAGGGGCTGCTGGGAAGCACAGGTAAAACTATCTTTTCCCAGGAAAAAAGTCTTTATTTGATCTTTTCTATGCTGTCATTGTAGGCTTGGACTCCTCTCTTTAGAAGCAGGGTCAAAATTGCTGAATAATATCTATATGCATGCATGTATTTACTCTGCAGATCCCCCTCTTTTTGGAAAATATGGCATGTCTGTGGTACAATCTGAGTAAAGACACATCTTTTGATGGGTTTAAAAGCCTACCCCCAAACTAAGAACTACCAATTCTGTTACCTTTTAGCCTACCCCCAAACTAAGAACTACCAAT